TGTTACACGTTCTAGTATGTGATGATCTGCAAATGTGATATTTGAGTATGATAGACCCGTTATTCTATATCAGACCCGAAAAAAGATCAAGAACATGAATTAGATATTGTAGATTTATTTGCAAATAGATATACAGCAACTTTCCTTAAAGAACAACTTAAAAGAGTTCTTCGTTCATACTCAATATTTATCAATTTCTCTATTATTGTATGCATAACTAATAATTCTGCTATCATAGTTCAGATAAGAAATGATTTAAAAAATAAACATTCAAATATTATTTCTATTTGTTGCTGCCTTTACACCTTTAATTTACTTGCAAAAGATATTTCTTTCTTCTCTTTTTTACTACCTGTTATTATGAATAATCAAAAGCTTGTCAATTTTTTTATATTGTCTTTTTTGTAAAACTAGATAGTATTCTCTCATGAAAGTTTGTCTTGAAGTAAAAGCTTTTGAAAGAGAATTTTATAAGTGTATTGAGCTTAGTAGAACTAGCAATTATCCAACTATTAGAATGGAAATTTGAGATATAGTTACTAATCATTACCATTTTGCAAATAATGATACATTATTAAAAGTGCTCATTTCTGTTATAGATGCTATTGGTCATCTTGAATTAAAAAATGCAACATTAGACAATATATTTAAAGAATTAATTAATATTTATTACACTGCTTCTATAACAAATTTTCCAATAGACAAGTTAAAAATCATAACTTGTTAGCAATTGACAAATAAGTTTGTGAATTTTTAGATATTATTTATTTTGTTGTATTTTTTTTGTCACTGAGTTATAAACAAGTTGCAATCTCAAAAAAAATATCTAAAGATTTAATTATTTGTGCAACTTTAAAATTGACAAAAGATTGAAGTTTCGATAAAAGAGAGATAACCCTTCTATATAAAAAACTTTTTAGTTATAAAAATAGTGATGCTCCTTTTGATAATCAAAAAAATCATAAAAATACTAATCCTAGAGTTTTCTAAACTGAATTTACTAGAGGTTCCCCACTTTTTCAACATTTTGCTATAAAAATATTTGTGATTGTTTCACATGCTGCAGCTTTTAAATAGTTATTTTCTAGCTTGAAATTGGTAAAAACTAAGTTATGAAATAGGATGTCTTCTGCTATAACAGAAATGCTTGGAATGTTTAGCTATGATCTTTAACAAGGATTATCTAAAGTACTAAAAAAGAAATCTAAGGTGAATGATTAAAACTCTACAAAAAATAACGTTGAAAATGTGGATGAAAATTTCTTTTTTGAGGAGGATTTTAATGAAAATGAAGAGCTTCTACAAATTAATGATGAAGCAGTAAATATAGATATAAATAATGAGCTAGCAATAGAAAAATTTTTCAATATTAAAATGTTTGAACAAAACCTCAAGAAAACAGATGAAGATAATTCAGCTACTTATTCACAAAGACCTACTACTAGAACTGACGAAAACTGGTCAATTGATGATATTTTTTCCCAATCCTAATATATGATAAAATTATATGTAAGTTTTTTTTATTTAATTATATCTGATATAGTTTAAATAGTCTTATAGTCATAGTGATAATTTTTAAAAATGCTTCTAGAGATTGGAATTGTTCTTTAAGAAGCATTTAGTATAAATATGCTGTTCTAATGGCTATAAATTTTGTATAAAAAAGTTTTATAAATTTATTAAACTTTAGAGTTGAGATAAAAATAATATTTAGCAATAATTTTTCTTTATATAATTGTTATTATTATCTTGCAATCATCGAAGAGAAAAGCATGTTGCTTTTATATAAAATAATTTAAAGTGTTCAGTGTTATAAATTCATAGTCGACCTTATCAAAAAAAATAAGTTTGAACATAGTTACAATCTACTGATTCTAGCGCTTCAAACTTTAGCAAGTAAAAAAAGTATATCTGAATATAGATCTGACGTACGTACGTACGTATGATTCGCTCAATTCTATATATATCGATATATATATTACTTACAAGTGGCATGCCTTATGGTTTTGGGCATGCCCGTGCCACCCACCCTAGTTAATACATATAAAATTTTATTATGACTAATTTATAAAGATAGCTCTGAAACTAATAATTTTCTTTTTCAATCCCATAAAAGTTCAAGTTGAAGTTACGGTTTTAACTAATAAATCAGTATATTTTTTTATTTTTTCTAACGTGTATTATTGCAATATTTTTCAAAACGTTAAGACATACAGCAATATTAACAGAATTGATTTTTTAATTAATAAGGATTGTAATGTTCTTTCTGTAACTTTTAAAAGATTTCGATTAGCCAATTTTAGGTTCTGTAATCTATTCGTCCATTGATCTTTTTTTTAGGTTTGTTGATTTTTGTCCATATTTTAAATATCTAAAAAAAGAATGACTATGTGTCGAATATTGTAATTTACACAGATCAGTATAGCGTGGTGAACATATTCGTACAGTATGAGGTGTAAACTAAAAATTTGCACTATACTGATCCGTTGTTATATATTACTGTACTAGGCTTAGAAACTATTGTATATTACATATATATGGTATATATGGTTTTTTTAATAGGTACCTTTTATCATGTTGATTTTATGTCATATATTACTGTATTTGTTTTAGAAATTATTATAGTATATTTATTTGGCATAATTTTTAAAATAGTATAGTATTTTACACCCTTTGACATACTATTTTGGTCATCCATATTATTATATATACGATCTCTGTAATCCCATTTTTGATTATATCTTTTAGGTTTAGAGATCAACATAGCTTAGCTTAGCACAGATTTCAAAAATCCTATCTAAAATATTACTAGAAAACAAGCTTTTTGTCTTAGCAAATAATTTTTTTGCAAGATTTTAATCTTGATCTACTTGTCTATTTATTTAAATGATACTATAACAAAATTTTTGCAAAATTCTTTTTAGATTTACACGCACATTTAAAATAATACAAGTTACATTTTCTAATTGTATCTAGGAATTTTAAATTATAATTTAGATATGGTATAATATATTTATACTATTCATATTATCATTAAAAAATTTTTTTAAAAAAATAAATAAAATAATAAAATTGTTATTTCCGATGATGAACAATTATAAATGAGAGAAGAGAATGATACTTCAGGCTTTCAGTTTTATAATTTATTATTAAAGATCCTGAAAGTAACATGTAATTACAGATTTTTATGAGCTTAATTTGATAAATAATAAATGATACAGTCGTCCCTCCATATAGTCACCTCCCATATAATCACATCATATGTAATCATATTTTTATTTAGCCCAAACTATAATTTAATTTATAAGAAAAAAACCTCCATACAAGCACAACCCTTTATAAGCACATTTTTAAAAAAAGTTACTATGTGCCCAACTGTGTGATTGTATGGGAGGACAACTGTACTATGATTTATTTAAAACCATCTCAGACCAAGAATGAACTGAAACAATCTCTAATCTTTCTGACCAAAAAGCAGCTAGTCCCTCTGAAATTTGTTATGAACATATTAAACATGCTAGCATCTTATTACAAGATATTTTCAAAGCATTTATTAATAAATACTTTCAATTTAAGAAAACACTATTAGAAATCCTCTAATATTTTCTTAATTTCTAAGAAATCTACCTGGAATTTTACACTAAATCAAGTTCACCCTATCTCTATTATTAAACCCTTTAAAAAAATCTTTACTAAGATCTTCACTAGCCAACTTGACAAAATAATCTCCTCAAATAACTTGCCCTCAGATCTCAACTTTGCAGCATTAAAAAACCACTCAACATATACCCCAATTCAAATTCTCTACAATACAATTGAACACTACATCTTATATAACAAAGAAGCATTGATACTGTTTCAGGACATGTCCAAAGCATTTGACAAAATCAATATTAATCGCCTACAAGATGCCTGTCGTAAAATAGGCATCCTGACTAATAAATAAATCTAATTACCAAACTACACACCTCTCATTTAGCCAAAGTAATCACTGCACATGGTTTTATATTACCAATTTATATTGAATCTGGCATAGAACAAGAAGAGACATACTCTTCTCTACTATGGAAGATCTATTATGATCCTATTCTCACCTATATTTTCAAAAAATACAATAACTTCCTCCTTAAAATATCTATACTCTCACCATTCGATATTATTTCTAATTTAAATCTAACCTCCATCATTATTCCACTATTGGCCTACATGGATAATACCATTTGGCACTGTAAATGCTCTAAAGACTTACAAAATATTCTCAATAATGTCTCTTCTTTATACAAATCAATAACATAGAAGTCAATTCAACAAAATCCAATCTGCTTTATATATCCTCTAAAAAATCCAAAACAGTAAACTATATTATTATATTTAATAATCAAACAATTTCTTCTACAAAATCTACAGATATAATTAGATATCTAGGTATTTATTATAATGGTTCTGGCTTATCCAAACCAACTCTTAATACAATATATAACAAAATAGAAAACTTTCTAGTATTCATTTGCTATAAAAAATTATTATTTTCTCAAATTTTCTCTCTATTCAATCTCATACTACAATCTTCTTTAGAATATTTATTACAAATCATTCCAATATTTAAAAACATCCAAACCAAACTTTTTCGACTTCTCTCTATACAAACAAAAGAAATGCTTTCACTTGCTAAGAATACTAATAACATTGCTCTAACTAATCCACTTACTTTTAACTTACCTACTCTTAATAATATAATACAAAAGTTAGTGCTTCAAATACTGAATGTATATTTAATTTCTTCTCACTTCTTCACAATATTGGTATTGCACATATTAAATCCTGGCTCTACAAAACTTGGTCATCCAATCTATCAAATGAAATACTTCTTTATCACTATTGTAAAACACAAAACTATACTCTTCTTTTTTACCTCTTACAACTGGCTAAAAATAATATAACAATCTCTTTTATTCCTCAAATTACAACTTTCTCTTCTTTTATTCACATCTAATTTATAATATACTCCCAACGGTTGTATATCAAAATCCCAACACACAAAATCTTGATATACAAAATCCTGGCAAAAAATCCCAATATACAAAATTCTGACAAATTAAAATTCTAATTTTAATATCTTTAAAATTTTAATTTGTCAGATTTTGTTTATCAGAATTTTGTTGTTGGGATTTTGTATGTTGGGATTTTGTGTGTTGGGATTCTGATATACAACTACTCCCAACAACTCCTAATAATCTAATAGTCTCAAAAATAACAAAATTCTTTTTATTGAACAAATTACAATAGCAGATAATAATTTTCTAATACCATAGAATAATATTTACCTTTATACAAACAAAGCAACTAGAGATCATCAACCTCGCTGGTTTACACAACTTCTACAGAATATACAATCAATCTCTATTCAAACTACCTAGCCACATCTTCAACTACCTCTAACAAATTGCTTTATCAATACTACTAATCTGATATCTTCAACAAACTCAACATTTCTCTATTAACTTTTACTACATAATTCAAATATAATTATTAAACAATCAAACTTTTATTAAATTACTTACTACCAAATCATTCCATCAACTATACAAACCAAACAAACAGAGTTTACAAAACTGACTGAAACTAATAACACAGTATCCAACTCAACTTTCATAAATTTACTATACAAACAAATTAACTTTAAAAAACCATTTTTACAAATAAACTATAAAAAGATTCTTGCAATAATTAATATCTAAAAATCTTACTATAACTCTAACTCCCTCTTTACACCAACCTCAAGTTAATTTATCCTCTTGTGAAATATATTTCATACAACATACCATCAAAACACCTAGCTACCAAAACCATCTAAATAATGATATTTTAAACTTAAACACAACTGATTTACAATTCTATACTGATGCTTCTATTAAAAATCTAATATACAGACTAGTATTGGTTGGATTTGTAAAAATAACCCCTCTATTAATTTTTGCACAGCAATTTCTCCTTCTCCTGACTCCACTCACTCAGAACTAGTAGCAATTATTCCTCTACTTCTTACCTTACCAATCAATTCTACACTTACTATCTATATAGACAATCTTTCAGCAATTAAAAACTTATCAGACTTTATATCTCATAAACTCATTTAACAAAAAAACTGAAATATCATTTTTATTATTAACTCACTTGTAAAAACTAAAAATATTTCTATTAATCTTATTAAGGTTAAATCACATTTAAATAATTCTCTCTATAACCAAGCTAATCTCTTAGCCAAATGTGGCACGACTAAGCCAATTATAGAAATTCTCTCTTCATACTTTAATCTTTTTATTTACTTTATTTGGTACAACTACACAATAATACTTAAAATTCGTTCATTTATCAAAAGCATTATTACAATTCAAGAACTTCTCTCATAGACCTCTTTCAAATTCTTTAATAATTATACACCTGTTATAAATTGGAATCTTACCTTCAAAATCCATAACTCTCTTGAGCAT